CTTGGACGAACTTGAAGGCATCTTGGACTCTCCTGGGCCGTCTTGGAGACATCTTGGACCATTTTGGGCGGACTTGGACGCCATCTTGGAGGCCGTCTCGGGCCAACGTGACCATCTTAGAGGCCACCTTGAGCCGTCTTGGAGAATGTTTTGCGGTCGTTGAGGTGGTTGCGGGGCATTTCCGACCCCGGCGGGATCGGCCGAAGCCCCAGGGGGGAAGTTTTTGGGGAAAAGAGCCAAAACCAAAATCGAAAGGCAACAGGGGGCGGCGGATCAAGACGCCTACGGCGAATCACCGCCGCCCCTTGCCTTTTTGGAAGCGCCTGCGTGGCCGAAAGTTGGGTTTGAGTTTGGCCAAGCTATCGGGCCACGCGTTCCCCAAGTGGGTTTCGAAAGCCTTCGGGGAACGCGGAGTCGGGCGAGCTATCGGACCAGGTGGTTTCCGAGCTTTCGGGCCTCCTGGAGGACGTCTTGGAGGGCCCTTGGGCCGTCTTGGAGGCCTCTGGCGGGCCTTTTGGGCAGTCTAGAGCAATTCAGGCTACCTGGGGCCGTCTTGGAGGCCTTCGCGGCCGTCTTGGAGGCATCTTTGAGGCCATCTTACCTGTTTTGAAGGCCATCTTGGGCGTCGTGGGGCCTCTTGGGCCGTCTTGGGTCTTGTCGGGGCCCTCTCGGGGGCCTCTTGGGCTGTCATGGGGCCATCTTGGAGGCCTCTTGGGCGCTCTTGGGGCGATGATGGGGGCCTCTTGGGCCGTCTTGGGTCGTCGGAGAGCTGATCAGAAGAAAGTGCCCAAATCCTTCAAACACCGAAGAAAAAGTGGAGCTCCTGGAGGCCTCTTGGGGCCCTCTTGGCCAGTCTTAGGCCATCGTGGAGCCATCTTGGGCCGTCTTGGAGGCTTCTTGGGCGCGCTTGAAGGCATCTTGGCCCCTCCTGGGCCGTCTTGGAGACATCTTGGACCATTTCGAGCGGACTTGGACGCCATCTTGGAGGCCATCTAGCAGGCCTCTGGCCTCTTGGAGGCCATTCAGGCCGTCTTGGAGGCCTCTGGCAGGACTTTTGGGCCGTCTAAGGCCATCTTCAAGCCATCTGGTGCCGTCTTGGGTGCATCTTGGGGCCATCTTCGCCGTCTTGGAGGCAGTCTTGGAGGCATCTTGGAGGCCATCTTGGCCGTCCCTGAGGCCATCTTGGGCGTCTTGGGGGCCTCTTGGACTGTCGTGGGGCCTTGTTGGGGCCATCTTGGGGGCCTCTTGGGCTGTCATGGGGCCATCTTGGAGTCCTCTTGGGCGCTCTTGGGGCGATGGTGGGGGCCTCTTGGGCCGTCTTGGGCCGTCGGAAAGCTGATAAGAAGAAAATGCCGAAATCATTCAAACACCGTAGGAAAATCAATGATTTGGGCCTCTTCGGGCCTTCCTGGTGGAGCTCCTGGAGGCCTCTGAGGGCCCTCTTAGGCAGTCTTAGGCCATCTTGGAGCCATCTTGGAGGCTTCTTGTGCGAACTTGAAGGCATCTTGGACTCCTGGGCCGCCTTGGAGACCATCTTGGGCGAACTTGGAGGCCATCTTGGACGCCATCTTGGAGCCATCTGGAGCAGGAAAAACCTTTGCAACCGGATTCTTGGCAGTCTTTGGGGCCTTTTCCAGGACCCCGGCGGGCTGGGCTGGAGCCCCAGGGAGAGTTCTCATGGAAAAATAACCAAAACCAAAAGCGAAAGGATTTAGCACGCCGGGCACCCATGTGATGAATCAACAGGGGGCGGCAGATCGAAGACGCCTACAGCGAATCACCGCCGCCCCCTGACTTGTTGGAAGCGCCTGCGTGGCCAAAAGTTGGATTTGAGCTTTGCCAAGCTATCGGGCCACGCGTTCCCCGAGTGGGTTTCGAAAGCCTTCGGGGAACACGGAGTCGGGCGAGCTATCGGACCAGGTGGTTTCCGAGCTTTCGGGCATTCCTGGAGGACGACTTGGAGGGCTCTTGGGCCGTCTTGGAGGCCTCTGGCAGGCCTTTTGGGCAGTCTAAGGCCATCTTCAAGCCATCTGTTGCCGTCTTGGGCGCATCTTGGGGCCATCTTCGCCGTCTTGGAGGCAGTCTTGGAGGCATCTTGGAGGCCACCTCGGCCGTCTTGGAGGCCATCTTGGGCGTCTTGGGGGCCTCTTGGACTGTCGTGGGGCCGTGTTGGGGCCATCTTTGGGGCCTCTTGGGCTGTCATGGGGCCATCTTGGAGGCCTCTTGGGCACTCCTGGGGCGATGTTGGAGGCCTCTTGGGCCGTCTTGGGCCGTCGGAGAGCTAATAAGATGAAAATGTCAAAATCATGCAAAAACCTAAGGACAATCAATGATTTTCCCCCTTTCGGGCCTTCCTGGAGGACGTCTTCGAGGCCTCTTGGGGGCCTCTTGGGCAGTCTTAGGCAATTTTGGAGCCATCATGGGCCGTCTTGGAGGCTTCTTGGACGAACTTGAAGGCATCGTCTCTCGGGCCATCTTGGAGGCCATCTTGGACCATCTTGGGCGGACTTGGAGGCCATCTTGGGCCAACGTGACCATCTTAGAGGCCATCTTGAGCCGTCTTGGAGAATTGTTTGTGGACGTTGGGGCGGTTTCTGCTGTCTTGTGCGGCCTTTCGGGTGGCCGGCGGGACGGCCCGAAGTCCCAGTGAGTTTTTCTAACAGAACCAAAATTGGAATGATCTAGCATTCCGGGTACCCTTTTGGCAAGCACGCAGGGAGCGGCGGATCCGAGTGGCCTTCGGACCATCCCGCCACCGTGCCTGGGTTGTGGGTCTGAGGCCTCTCGAATATGTGTTGGGGTGTCGTGGGGAGCCTCTCGGGGGCCCCTTGGAGGCGGTTTAAGAGCGTCTTTTGGGGGCCCTTTGGGGCTTCGTGTCGTATCTTTAGCTTTTTGGAGGCCTCTTGGGCGCGTCTTGGGCGCCTCTTGGGGCCTCTTGTAGGAGAGCGTGGCCTCGGGGGCGCGAATGTGGCGCGATTTATAAGGGATCTTGGCTTCGGGGGCGCGAATGTGGTGTATTTGACACGGGATCGTGGCCTCAGGGGTGTGAATGCAATGTAATTCACAAGAGATCGTGGCCGCGGGGGCGGAATGTGGCGTAAGGGTGCGATTGTGGTGTAATGTACAAGAGGTCATGGCCCCAGATGCGAGAATGTGGTGTAATTCACATGGGATCGTGGCCTCAGGAGCGTGAATACGCTGCATTTTACCAGGGATCGTGGTTTCGAGGACGCGAACACAGAGTAATTTACAAGGCATCTTGGCCTCGGGGGCGCAAACATTGTGTGATGTACGATTGATTATTTCGTCGGGAGCGCGTATCTCATGTATTTGTACTTGCCCCACGGCCCCGCAGAAATTCAGACAACGCGATTCGGGGACCCTAACCAGGGCTCTTTTCGGCTCCCCCCCCTCGCGCGGACAATAACAATTTACAGTAAGAAGCAGAAAACAATACTGTAACATTGGATACTGGAAACTGGAACTGGCGCAGGGAACAGCAATCCTAATCCTCGCAGCCTCATGCATGGCCCCGCAAGAGGTCCAGCGGATTTGTCTTGTTCTTCTCCTTTTTTTTTTTTCTCCTTCTTCTTACTATTAGTATTATTTGTGTTTATCCGTGAGGCCTTCGCCCCCTGCCGCCGGCCCCCTCTCTCGGATAACGGGCTACGCAAGAGCTAAGTCATGAGGCCTCGGCGCCGCCGTGAAGCAGCATCGGCAAGAGAAATTGAGATTCTGATGAGATTGTTGAACTCAGTGTTGCATTTTGAACCTGCCCCCGCATGCTGTGCACTGAGGTTCCCACAGCATTTCAGAAATGTGGCAAATCCCTCATGTTTTTGGACCCTGACCCCGCCGATCTGCGTGAAGGGGGCCTCCGAATTTCAAGACATGTGACAAATCCCATGTGTTTTTCGACCCTGACCCCGCCGATCTGCGTGAGGGGGGCCACCGAATTTCAAGACATGTGATAAATCCCATTGGTTTTTCGATCCTGACTGCGCCGATCTGCAGGAGGGGTGCCACCGAATTTCAGAAATGTGGCAAATCCAATTGGTTATTCGACCCTGACTCCGCCGATCTGCGTGATGGGTGCCGCCGATTTTCAGAAATGTGGCAAATCCAATTGGTTTTTCGACCCTGGCTCCGCCGATCTGCGTGATGGGTGCCGCCGACTTTCAGAAATGTGATAAATCCCATTGGTTTTCCGACCCTGACTCCGCCGATCTGCGTGAGGGGCGCCGCCGAATTTCACAAATTTGTCCAATCTTATTGGTTTCCCGACCCTGACTCCGCCGATCTGCGTGAGGGGTGCTGGCGAATTTCAGAAATGTGGCAAATCCCATGTGTTTGTGGACCCTGACCTCGCCGATCTGCGTGAGGGTGTCAATTTCGACAAGAAATTCTGAGATGGCTCCCGGGAGGTGCCAACCAGTGTGCTTTTCGGCTCCCCTTGCCCCGCGCGGTCCATCAACAAGGAACAGTAAGCAACAAGAAGCAGAACCGTAACAGTGGAAACTGGAAACTGGAACTGGCGCAGGGAACAGCAAACCCTCGTCCTACAGTCTGGTGGCCCCACAAGGGGGCCGGCGGATTATTATTCTTTTCTTTCTTCTATGAGAGCAGGAGTTTTCCATACCCAACGCTCCGATAGATTCTTGGGGGGGGACGCTGGAAACTGGCCAGTGCCACCAGTCAGGGGCAACGGGGTTGGAAATTTCGAGGAGCCAGCACAGACAAATTTCGGAGGTCAACACGGGCTTTTCTGATTTGCTTTGTACCCCCCGCGCGCCAGGGAGGGGGTTCCAGCGCGGATCCCGGAAATCCTCGTGGACCTTCGAGATGTCATGTGTATGCAGGTGTTCGTCTTCTAGATATGCCCGAAGAGAAGGTAATGATTTGACGCGGATTCGACTTGGACAGCGGCGCGTTGAGACAGACAAGGACCCCCGAATATGCAGCAAAACCTGACTCTAGCCTGATTCTGCCCTGGTGCCCAGGACTGCGGCTCCATCAAGGTCGACGTCTTCGACCACGTCGGCTCCGCCAGGGGCTTCATCAGCGGAGGCCCCCCCGCGGGCGCGGTGCCAGCCGTGGCGGGCCCGTTGGGGGCCTGGGGGCCCTGGCCGCTCATCGCCGCCGTCGTCGACATCGGCGCCAAGTCGACGGCGCAAGAACGACACCGACGTAAACCTCTGGGCATGGTCGGCGTGGACTCCTCGGGTCGGCCACCGGCCGCTGGGCAGGGAAAAAGCCCACCCCTCGGCCCTTGCACGGCCCCGCGCGGCCACACGCGGAGCCCTCGAGGGCCGCCCCCCCCCCCGAGGAGGGCCACCGCGACCGCCCTGGAGACCCCCCCACGCGGCGGGCTCTAGCAGGGGACCGGGAAGGGGGCCACGCCACCAGGCGTCTCCGGCGCAGCCCGCACAGCCCAGACGAGTCGCCCGCGAAGAGAGGTGCGCGCAGGTTTTTTTCTAGTGGGGGGCGGGGGGGGGGCGCCCTCCCCGCCAGCATGCCGCCTCGTGCCCCTCGCCGCCCTGCCTTGTTTTCAGGGGGGGGGGGGGCAGAGGGCAGAGCTGCGGGCCGTGCCTTGTGGGCCCGCGCCCTCCCTCCGACACGAATTCCTGCCCTGGTCTGCCTCTGCAGACCCAGACGCCCAGCTGCTCCAGTTTTTTCGATGCGTGGGCCCCAGAGGTCCGGACCACTTCTCTAGGGCTGGCTTTTCGTCCTGATCCGATTTGGTACACGTCGGCCGTTGAAAGCAGGTATTATTTCTGGATTCCCAGATCCCAATCTACTTCGAGCGCCTTCCTGCTTCAAGAATCGATATGCTTTTGCTGTGTGCTCGTGATTCTCTGGGAGGGCCTGAACCCAATCTACTTGATCCGCCTTCCTACTTCATGGTTTTATCTACATACTCCGACCGACGGGTATCGATCTTGGCTGGCTGGGTCCGATTCGACCCCGAGATTCCGACGACCCGATGCGTGCCGATGCTCACAGGGCGCCGTCGTGCATCCTGCCGGTCCTGTTCGAGTCCGGCCTCGTGCCGATGCGGCCCGATCCGATCCGATCTGAGTTCCGGACCCGAGGCTGGCTGATCTTGCCCTGGGCCCCAGGATCCCGTGGTTCAAAGCTGGGGTCCTGAGGGATGGGGGCCCCGCAGGACAGGAAGCCTTCCAAGGCCGCATCTTGTATGCTGCTTGAGGCACCTCGTCCTCAGGACCCCATCCCTCAGGACCCCATCTTTGAACCACCAGCGGAGGGTGTGCGCGCCCTCTGGGAGGGCGCGTGCACCGTGCCAGGGACCAGCACGGCCCTGGCCGGACGGGGCTGGGACGAGAATAGATCCGTTCCAGGGCGTCCTGGAACCTTCTCGGCTCTTTCCGGAACGCTCTGAGAAGGCCGCGGCGCCCGAGACATCCCTCCGAAACGCCGGAGCTCAGAGAGTTTCTCGATTTGCTCTGCCCCGATGTTATCCTCGCCCTGGCCTCGTCTTGGCCGCCCACCTCCAGGGGCCCCAGCGCGGCGGCGAAGGCTGGGGGGCCTGGGCTTGGAGGGCCGAGTGCTCCTGCCAGTGGGAGGTACCTATGCTCAAGCAGTGGCGAAGCGTCCTGGCTCGCGTATAGCACTACCAAACAATGTTCTAAGAAGCTTTCGTGGTTCCCACAAAATGTTCTTAGAACATTTCTGGCTGGGACTGTCTTGTTATAGCACATCGGGCTTATGTTCTAAGAACATTGTTTTGTTCTTAGAAGATTTTTGGGGTTCTAAGAACATTTCGTGGTAGGACTATAGGAATGCCGGGACCCAGAACGGTCGGTCCCTGCTCAACATGCGCCACTGCTGTGCCTGGCCAGGGCCACCCTGCAGTGTCGGCGCCTCCTGCGCGCTGTCCGGGCCGCCCGCGGCCGAGGTCGCGCGCGCGCGCCTGGGGGTCGGAGCCCGCGGCGGCCCGCGCCCGCAGGCCAGCGGGACTACCAGCTGCGGTGCGAGCCGCGAGGCCAGGTGGGGGGAGGCGTGTCGGGGAGGCGTGAGATCTGGGAGGGTGGAGGAGGGGGAGGGGGGGGAGGAGGAGGAGGAGGAGGAGGAGGAGGAGGAGGAGGAGAGGAGGGAGGAGGAGGAGGAGGAGGAGAGAGGAGGAGAGGAAGAGGAAGAGGAAGAAGAAGAAGAAGAAGAAGAAGAGGAGGAGGAGGAGGAGGAGGAGGAGGCGGAGGAGGCGGAGGAGGCGGAGGGCGGAGAGGAGGGAGGGAGGAGGAGGAGGAGAGGCGGAGGCGGAGGAGGAGGAGGGGAGGGAGGAGAGGAGGAGGAGAGGAGGAGGAGGAGGAGAGGAGGAGAGGAGGAGGAGAGGAGGAGGAGGAGGGGGGGGAGGAGGAGGAGGAGGGAGGAGGAGGAGGAGGAGGAGGAGGCGGAGGCAGAGGCGGAGGTGGAGGCAGAGGCGGAGGCGGAGGAGGAGGCGGAGGGGGAGGCAGAGGTGGAGGCGGAGGCGGAGGCGGAGGAGGTGGTGGAGGTGGAGGTGGAGGAGGTGGAGGAGGTGGAGGAGGAGGAGGAGGAGGACCAGTGGAAACCCAAGAGTCATCAACGACGTTGGAATTTACCCTCCCTCCAAGCTCCCACTTCACAGGCCTCTGCAACGGTTCATTTCCATTGAGGGAATTGCCCCGCTGGAAGACAACAGTGTAAAGATCCTGAAGCGTGCCAAAACGTTGTTCTCGGGATTTCAACGCCACATATCAACCTGACTGCTGCGTCTTGACGATCCAGGACGTGCCAGAACGCAATGTCTGGGACTTCAACACAGCGAATCAACACAACTATTGCGCCCGCAAATTCTTGAATCTTTTCAATCGCTATTTCTGGTACGCTGATCTGGGAATCCGTGAAACTCTTGTCATTTGTTCAACGAATGTGCGCGGCGCTAAGGCGAGAGCCGCAGTTTGAAAAGGAACCGCCCTCAATCCGTGAAACTCGTGCAACGTTGAAAGAACGAATGTGCGCGGCGCTAAGACGAGAGCCACATTTTAAAAAGGGCCCGCCCTCAATCCGTGAAACCCTTGTAACTTTTTAAAACGAATGTGCGCGGCGCTAAGGAGAGAGACGCATTTTGAAAACGGTTCGCATTCAATCCGTGAAGCTCTTGTATTGTTAAAACGAATGTGCGCGGCGCTAAGGCGAGAGCCACAGTGTGAAGAAGACCCGCCTTCAATCCGTGGAACCCTCTTAAATGTTTGAAGCGAGCGTCCGCGGCGCTATGGCGAGAGCCACATTTTGAAAACGGTCCGCCTTCAATACGTGAAACTCTTTTAAATGTTTGAAACGAGTGTGCGCGGCGCTAAGGGGAGAGCCACATGCTGAAAACGACCCGCCCTCGATCCGTGAAGCTCTTGTATTTGTTTAGTTGAAACAAATGTGCGCGGCGCTAAGGCGAAAGCCACATTTTGAAAGCGACCCGCCTTCATCTGTGAAGTTGCTCCCACTTTTTAAGCTTTAGAGTCGCACATGATGAGGAAGTTTCAGGCGAAACGCCCGGCCCGCCCTAAAAACTAGCTTCGGGGTGCGACAGGGAGGATTCTCTACAAGGAGATGGAATAGAACAGGAGGGGGAGGAGGAGGAGGAGGAGAAGGATGGGGAGGGGGCGGAGGCGGCGAAGGAGGCGGAGGACTCGGAGGAGGCGGAGGGGGCGGAGGAATCGGAGGAGGCGGAGGAGGAGGAGGAGGAGGGGGAGGGGGAGGGGGAGGAGGAGGAGGAGGAGGAGGAAGAAGAGGAGGAGGAGGAGGAGGAGGAGAACGAAGAGAAGGAGGAGGAGGTCACGCGCAGAGGGGGGCAGGGGGAGGGGGGGAGGCTTCGCGGAAGCCCCCCTGCTTCATAGGAGGTGCGGGCCTTCTCTGTAGACAGCGCCTTCTACTAAGAAGCAGCCTCCTAAGAAGCTTTCCCCCCTCCCCCTACCCCCGTGTGCGCGCCGCCAAGGAATGTCGCCGCGGTGCTGGGACGTTTGCCGGGATTCGGGTTTGCCGCTGTTTTTGGACGGTCCAGCGTTTGTGAGGTGTTTGCAGCGGGAGCTCGGTTCAAAATTTCATATGGGGTCCCAATATTTTTTGTTTGACGGCCCTGTCATTCAAATTCGAACCCCACAGCTCGAGTCTTATGTCTCCCCGGTCGTGGGCGGGAAAGATGCGGTATCGCAGGCGATGTCTCGCCCCCACTCCCCGAGTTCCCCAGATGTGCATCTCATGTCATGAATCCCGCAGTGAGCGTGTGCAAGTGCAAGTGTAAGTGAAAGTGTAAATTTAAGTGTGTGCAAGTATGTATAAGTGTAGGTGTGTAAGGGTGTGTGTGTAATTGTGCGTAAGAGTGTGCGCAAGTGTGTGTAAATGTGTGTAAGTGAATGTTGTGTGGTGTGTGCTGTGTGTTGTGTAATTGTTGTGTGTGTTGTGTGTTATGTGTGTGCTGTGTGTGCTATGTGTTGTGTATTATATATTATGTCTGTTATGTATTATTTATGTTGTGTGTTGTGTGTTGTGTGTGATGTGTGTGTGCTGTGTGTGTGGGTGGGTGTGAAAGCGCTTCCGCGTAGACGACGGGTCCGACGACGTCGAGTTGATTCCTTGAATGTGACTGAGCGAGTACGAGTATGAGTGAGTCGGAGCGTGAGTAGGTCTGAGGGTCGCGTGTCTGTCTCAGCTGGATGCTTCGGCGAAACACGACGACTGATCTTCGAGAGCGACGACGAAGATGACGACGACGAAGACGACGACGACGTCGTCGACGACGACGACGTGTGGGCTGGGCACTGCAGTACCACCGCCGGCCACTTGGCAGATCCCGCAGTGTGGGAAAGTTTTGCCTGCTACATCGCGGTCATCATGGGGCTCTGAATGGAGAGGAGTCGAAGGCGCAAACCAAGCGCCTCGCTCGAGGCATCCCCACAATCTGGCCGCGAACGGGCGAGTGTCCTAACTCCTGGCGGCCCCCCCTCGGGGTGCTGAAACCGGCGCCTCGCTCCAGACATCCTCGGAATCTGCTCCGAAAGCACCGCAGTCCGAGCCACCAAAAAACCAAATTGCTGCTCGAGGCATCCCCGCAGTCTGGCCACGAACGGGCGAGTGTCCTATACACCCTTGCGGCTCCCCCATGGAGTGCTGAAGCCAGCGCCTCGCTCGAGGCATCCTCACAGTCGATTCTAAAAGCACCGAACTCCAGGCCACCAAACAGGAGACGTCCCCACAATCTGGCCGCGAATTGGCGAGTGTCCTACCCGCTGGCGGTTCACCCTGGGGGTGCTGAAACCGGCGCCTCGCTCGTCTGAGTGTCGCTGCGTATGAATTTGAGAAGTAGGTTTGCGTGTGAGTCTGAGCATGAGTGAGTTTGAATATGAGGGAGATTGCGTGCGAGTGATACTAAGAATGAGTGAGCCTGATTGTGATTGAGAGAGACTCTGAGTCTGAGCCGGAGTATGTCAGAAATGTGAGTGAGTCTGAGTATGAGTGATTCTCAGTTTGAGGGAGTCTAAGTGAGCCTGAGTGTGCGTGAGTCTGAGTTTGAGTGAGTCTGAGTATGACTGAGTCTTTGTAGGGGAGTTTGAGCGTGGCGCGTGTCTGAGTATGAATGAGTCTGAGTGTGAGCTTGAGTGTGAGTGTGTCTAAGTGCGAGTGAGTCTGCGTATGGGTGAGTCTGAGTATGAGTGAGCCTGAGTGGGAGTCAGTCTGAGTGTGAGTGAGTCTGAGTATGATTGAATATGAGTGTGAGTTGGTATGAACATGAGAGAGTCTGAGTGTGAGTGAGTCCGAGTGAAGTGAGTCTGAGGGAAGTGGCAGAGCAGGGAGGGGAGGTGAAGAAGTCGGCGGCGTCCAAGTAGTTTCAAGAATTGCATCCTAGGATATGCGGAGCCACATGCCGCGTCAGACAGCAGGGGGATTCGGGGATGCACCCCCAGGGGAAAAATTATTCGGATGAGCACCAGTTCGGGGATGGACGCCCCCCCCCAGCGTACATCCCCTGGCTGAGCTCAGCTGTCTTGCCGCGTCGGATGTCCGACAAGGTCGGGGATTGGGGCCAGCATAACCCGCGCTGCGGCAGGTCCGCGCCGTGTCGACGCGGCGGCGACCCCACCGCGGGCGCTCGAGGGTGAAGGCCGCCAGTGGCCCGCAACCGATCGACATCGAGCAGCCTGCGCGATTGGACAGCCGCAACGGCCTGTGTTCACACGGGGGGGGTTCGCCACGGCGGCTGCTGCCCCCCGCGGCCGCTCATCGTCGAACTCTCCGGCGTCTGAGCGTGTTTCCTTCCTCTAGGCCGTCCCCCCCTCTTTGCTCGCCGGCCAATCCGCTGGTCTGTGCCCCTACCTAGCTTCTCGCTGGAGCGGAGTTCGCCGCCTCGCCGCTGACAAAAATGCGTTCGCACGGGATTGCTTGAGCCCACGCGCGCACGCGCGCGTGCCCGCAGTTCGTGCGTGGCGGCCTGCGCTGGCTCACGGAGCGGTGCTGATCTCTCTGCGCCTCGCGCACTCTTGCTTGAGCAAAGATGCACATAGTATTAATGGAGGGAGAGAGAGAGAGAGAGAGAGAGAGACAAAAAGAGAGAGAGAGAGAGAGAGACAAAAAGAGAGAGAGAGAGAGAAAGAGAGAAATATATAGGTGGCGCGGCACGGCCTGAGCGGGCGGATGCGTGACGCGCCGTGAGCTTTGGCGGAGAAGGTTCCGCCCGCCTGCGGTCGCCCGACGGCCGTTGGTGGTGCGAAGCGGTGCGCAGAGAGAGAGAGAGAGAGAGAGAGAAAAAAAAAAAAAGGTGGAACGGAGCGGGAGGAGGAGCAGAGGAAGAGGGAGAGGTCAGCACACACACACACAGAGAATTGATGTCGCAGCACTCGGGGTGTCGTCCCAATCCCACTTACATGTCGGCATTAGCCGCGTGCTCACACGCGCACACCATCATTACATCTTGATGTGTCCTCCCTATGCAGCCATATTGTACCATCTTCCTTCCCGTTTATCAATCAGAATACCCAGCGGGACCTCATATTTTTACATCGTCGCCGTTTTGATCGCCATCATCATCAAGAACATCCATGTTGCCACACATCGTCGTTGATGTATCAGTTTAGCAGATGAATCAGTTGAACATGTATACATACATTGCTCCCTCTCTCTCTGTCTCTCTCTCTCTCTCTACATATTGTGAAGGCCTTACGGCCAGTGCCGCCGACCCTGAAGGCGGGACCTCCACCAGGACCCCGGGGATCCCTCCTAAGACCCCTGGGCTGAGGCCAGGGCCAGGACCAGGGCCGACCCCATCCCACATGGGGAACCCTCCCTGCCCCCCCTGTCCACAGGTGGGATCACCCGGGATCCCCCGGGAGCTGGTAAATTCACCCGGGATCCCTTTCTCCCAACACCCACCCCCTCCCCCCCCACCACACCCGCCTTCAGGGAAGGGAAAAGGGGATGGGGAATCGACTTAACAACGACTCTTATTTTCTCGGTTCGTTCCTCATTTTGGAGGGGATTGGCGACGACGTCTCTCTCTCTCTCTCTCTCTTTCTCTCTCTCTCTCTCTTTCTCTCTCTCTCTCTCTCTCTCTCTCTAAACACACACACACATAATTGTAGAAGTACGTGTATGCAGAAGTCTGTCAGCGCTTCTGTTCTTCATTATTCTCACGCAAGCAATGGAAGAGGAGCAGGAAGAACGATGAGGAAGGAAGAGGTGTGTATCTCCCTCTCTATCTCTGAGCCCCTCCCTCTCCCTCTTTCTCTCTTTCTGCCCATCCCTCGCTCGCTTACTCCCTCTCTCATTATCTTTCTCTTTCCCTCTCTCTCTTTCGTATGCTCGTTTTTGAAAGCAGCTCACTGTTCACGACAACAGGCTCATGGGAGGCTAACGAGGAGGCAGGAGGTGATGATGGTGGTGTCGAGCTCTGAACACTTGTCCTCTGTGTGCTCACCAGGTTCGACGATCGGCGCGTCACTGTGCCGTGTGCTCTCGCACGGCTGGGTGGCACGCGGCAGTCACCATATGGCACAAACAGCGCGGGGGATCGTAGCCTGGGTATGCCTGGTAGATGTTCAGGAGGGGAACAACACACTGACACAATTAACCGTCGACTCCCAAGAAACTATCAATATGGAAAGTGGGTGGGAAGATGAAGACCCAGAACTTATGAGGAAATATGTTGAATCCTGAGATGTGTGTCTATTCATGTGTGTGTGTGTGTGTGTGTCCCTGGGTCCCTTTAGATGTGGCTGCAGAGTGGAGCCGCACATGGTCCATTTGGACCCGATCGATCCGATTCGGCATCGATTTCGGCCAGTCCGATCTGACTCGATGTCGAGATTCCGACGAGCCGATGCCGCTCGCAAACCCCCCCTTTGCTATCCCCCCTTTCGCCCGGCCCACGCTTGGCTGCCGCGGGTCTGCCGAAGCCCCCTCGGAGAGACTCCCTGCGCGGAGGTCCTCGGCCGTGCCGCGCCCGCGCGCCGTGCGCGCCGTGCGCCGTGCCGCCGTACCGTGCTCCCGTGCCTTTCGAGCTGCAGGGCACGGTGCCATGCCTGCGTGCCGTGCCGTGCCCGCTTCGATGCGGACTCGATGGCCACAGTGCCCATCGTCGGAGGTGGATAGACCTCCTACCCTGACGCGTCGATTAAGGAATTGGCCGTTTTCGGTTCGCGAGAGGGCGTCGCGGCCGTCATTTTTGCGGGTCCAGGTCCGTCGGTTTCGGTCCCAGGCCGATTTCACTAAGGGGAGGTTTGCTAAAGGGAGGTTTGTCCACCGCCGACATCGGCACGAACGAAATGGGTACGGAAAGAATGGGTACGATGCCCAACAGCAGTTCCGGTGCATTTTTGTGCAAGGCTCGCGGTCCGCGCTGCCGCGGCCTGTGTCCATTTGACACAGAAGGCCGCCTGCCCAAGAGCGGCCGCTGTTGGTTTGGGACAACATTTGTTGTTGGGCATTGTACCCATTCTTTCCGTACGTACCCATTTTGGGCGTCCAAAGCAAAGTGAAAGGGCCCTTGCGGAGTCCAGGCCTCCCAGCTGGGGCCAGAGCAGACGAGGTCGGAGGGATCGCGCAGCGCCGCCCACGAGTCAGGGGTCGAGCCAAACGGTGTTCGGGCCATCTCGTGGACCGTTTTCGTGTTGGTTCTGTTTTGTAGGAAAGGCGGACCGAACAGACAAACATTGTTTAGCTGGAGCCCTGCCATGAATGAACGAGGTGGCGCCGTCTGAAGTGCGATGTTCTCCATCCCCCAGACCCCTGAGCGTCAACGAGCGTCTGGGAGTCGATGAGCTAGTGCCGAATTAGCGTCGATGAGCGTCGGTTTAGTTTCGATTAGCGTCGATGTAGCGTCAATTAGCGTCGATTCGCAAGAGCCCGCAAGATGGTACGGGAGGCTCCCATGAGTTGCCACCGAAGTCTCGACCAGTCCCTGGGAACTGGCTGTTCCTGCCGGGCAGTTCTTTGACTGCCTTGGGGGCCTCGGAGGCCGAAAGCGGCCCCCCCTCCACAAGAACACCCTCCGTCGCTACTGGGAAGGCCTCACGGCCGGCGCCGCCGACCCTGAAGGACGGCGACGACGACGACGACGACGACGACGACGACGACGACGACGACGACGACGACGACGACGACGACGACGACGACGACGGCGGCGGCGGCGGCGGCGGCGGCGGCGGCGGCGGCGGCGGCGGCGGAGACGACGGCGGCGGCGGCGGAGACGACGGCGGCGGCGGCGGCGACAGCGGCGGCGGCGGCGGCGACGACGGTGGCGACGACGGCGGTGGCGGCGGCGGCGACGACGACGTTGACGCTCTGGAATCCTTCTTTGGGCTCTCTTTGGAGCTTACTGGGTTCTGCTTGGGGGCCTCTTGGGAAACTTCTTTGTCGCTATTCTTCACGACGAGGGGGTCCTGGGCTTCCCCCCACGGGCCACCCCCTTCACAAGCACAAGGCTGCCAGCTCGGAGTCTCCATCTTGGGGGGTTGCCACTCCTTGGCCTTGTACTGCTCAGTGGCGCCCAACGACGTTGTGCACGAAGTGCTGATGTAGGGCGCAAGCCGCGTGGGCCGGCGGACTTGCGTAAAAGGAAGAAGGATGGTCGGGGATTGCTCTATGAAGGTGCCCTTGGCCCCAGGTGCCCCCAGCTTTTCACTCCACTGTGGAGCCCCCGGGGCCCAATGGGCCTCGTGAGGGGTGCTCTGGGGACCGCTAGGGCCTCCTTGGAGATCCTGTGGGCGCCTTGGGCCAGGGGCACGTCCAGCAGCACCCGAGATGGAGGAGAAGGAGGCGGAGGAGCAGGAGGAGGAGGAGGAAGAGGAGGAGCGGGAGCCCAGGGCCGCATGCAAGATTCGCAGGATATTTCAAAACATGCTCCCCTCCTCTCCTTGCTCCTCATCCCCCCCTCGAGCAGTGGCGAAGCGTTCCGGCTTGCCTGAAAGGCCCACCAGAGGATGTTCTAAGATGTTCCGGTGTTCTGCACGGAATGGTTTGGGAAGCTTTTTGACTAAGACCGGCTTGTTGTAGCACATCGGGTTGATGCTCTAAGAACAGCATGCTTTCTTATTGGAACATCTTGGGTTCCAAGCAAATTTCGTGGTAGGCCTATTGGAATGCCAGGACGGTCGGTCCCTGCTCAATCCCCCCCTTCTCCTCATCCATCCCCTTCCTGGGAGGAGGAAAAGGAGGAGGAGGAGGAGGAGGACGAGGTCACGGCGACCAAACCATCCCGAGGGCCTAGACGCGAACCCCCTTCCCTCTCCTTCTCTCTCCTTTTCCCCTTCCCTCTCTCTGCCTTGCTCTTCCGCTTCTGCCCATGGGGGCTTGCCTTCTCGCCCTTGGCGTGGTTTGGCCCTCCGTCTGTGCCGTTTTTACATGAGGCGCCTCCCACTTCCCCCACCTCATTGTTAGTGACATGATGCTCTCTACATTGCTTCGTTTCTTACCTTTTCCCCAATGAACCCCCCCTCCACCTCGGGCCCGCAGCCGAGGTGGAGGGGCAGGACAGGAGGCTGCACGACGACGATCGACCGCCATGAATGAGTGAGTGAGGAGGGCGAGGAGGAGGAGGGCGAGGGCGAGGAGGAGGAGGAGGAGGAGGGCGAGGAGGAGGAGGTGGAGGAGGCGGAGGAGGAGAAGGAGGAGGAGGAGGACGAGGAGGAGGAGGAGGACAAGGACCTCCCCCCCGTAGCGTGCCCGACGCATCGCAGCGGCAGCCCGCGCGCGGCACCCCCGCCGCGCGCTGGGGCCCGCGCCCCCCTGGCCGCCAGGCTCGCAGGGCGCGGGCGAGCGTGCAGCGGGAGGCGCCGCACAGGGCATGCAGGCGCGCCGGCGCGCCCAGCGCCTCCGTCTTGGAGGCTTTCAAGAACACAGACACAGATGCACACACACACACAGATGCACACACACACACACAGTTGTTGTTGTTGCTTCCTCCTCCTCCCTCCCTCCTCCTCCGCCTCCTCCTCCTCCTCCTCCTCCCCCTCGCCCTCAACCTCTTTCTCCTCCTCCTCCGCCTCCTCGTCCTCCTCCCCCTCCTCCTCCTTCTCCTGCTCCTCCTCCTCCTCCTCCTCTGGAGGCCTCCCAGATTCAGGGGCAACTGATTTCGAAGAGGAGAAAACGCTATCAACATAAACTTTTTGCGCTCCGCGAGGATTTCATGGATCTGCGCTGGGCCCCCCCAGCGGCGCCTCCAACGCCGCCCTTGGCGCGCTCCGCGCGCCAGGGAGGGGGGTCCAGCGCAGATCCAAGAAATCCGCGCGGAGCGCCAAAAGTTTGTGTTGATGCCTTTTTTTTTCTTTTTCTAACAACGGATGGGGGGGACAGGCATAGGGGGGGCGCATCGATACCCCATCGCCCATTGATCGCCGATAGGGGCTCCATAGCCCCACCCCGCCCAAGAACGGGCGGACTCGGCATCGGGGGGCTATCGCCGATCCATGGGCGATGTATCCTCGATTCCACATCGATGTGTCCCCCCTATGCCAGTCCCCTCCTATCGCTGCCCCTCACAGATGGGGTCCGCACAAATGCCAGCCACGCGCAGAAGGAGGCAGGGGGAGGGGGGAGGGTTTCTCAGTCGCACCCCTGCTTCTGTGGATGTAGAGGCGGCGCTGTCCAAGAAGGAGCTTGTTTCTAAGAAGCCTTCCCCCCACCCCCGACCCCCTTGTGCGCCGCGAATAGATGGGGTCGCAGGATCACTCCGCACCGACGATGCATCGACGGTGCGGCTCGATGTGGATCCACAGTTTCTACGCGCCGAGTGATACCGCTGGCCTTGTCTCGTTTTCTCGTGCTTGGGCCGCCTGGGAGGCCCTGGTCGCCACCGCTGGATTCGCCACGAAATTCTGGTCAGAACGCACCCTGGGAAAGGTCTGGGGAGTAGATTTAAGTCGGGCGTGTCCCTCTACAGGGCGAAAATTCAAGAATGGGTCAAAAATGGTCTGGGGACGATTTTTCCATATGTTCAACAATGTTTGAATAGTTTTTAATATTTGTTGTTTCATCGAAGATCGGCCTGTAGAGGGAAATGCCCGACCTAAGAGTAGATGGGGTCGGAGGATCGCGCCGCATCGCCGATGCATTGGTGCCACAGGCGTGGAGAAACTCTGGCTCCACATCGAGCCACACCGTCGATGCATCGTCGGTGCTGGTCAATCCTGCGACGCCTTCTATTCAGACCCAATGTGGGAAGCCTGGATTTTCTGAGCGATCGTTAGAGGCAACGCTTTAGGAGGGATCGGCCTTCCGAGGTTAGAGGTTTTCGGCAGCTTTCTGTTTTTTTTCCGAGGATTGAGGTTTTCGGACGTTTTCGTAAACTTTCCTGCCTCGGGATTCGTTCCAGCAGCTGCGCCTCGCCGAGGGCGTTCTGGAGCTGCCTGGATCGTCCCGGCCGCCAGATAGCCGAGCTATGATTCGAAAACCACATGGGACGGGAATGGGCTCAGGCGGGAACGCATTGAACCCCTTTACCGCCCATGTATCGCCGATGGGAGCCCGATGGCCCTTTCCCGCACAGGGGCGTGTCGCCGATCCGTCGGCGATGTATCTCCGAGTCGGTGTCGATGTTTCCCACCCTATCGTTGCCCCTCACTTCACTGGCCCGCCTGTTGCAAGCGTACCCCCGGCACGACCTCCAGAGACTCGAAGAGGCCTGTTTCGGGCCCCATGGCCCGCAAAAGGCTGTTCGGGACGCTTCTCGTATCCCCACCAGGCCATCCTAACACAATCACTGAGCGAGTTTCCCGGTTCGGGGGATTCTAGCAGCGTGCAGTGGAACATGAGAGGGGAAGCCGTCAGATTTGGAAAGAGTGAGAGGAAGGAGGACGGCACGGAGGAGGAGGGAATGATGGAGGAGGTGAGGAGGAGAGGAAGAGGGCGAGGAGCTGGGGGGCACGCAACCTCACTACCACCACCATCATCAGCAGCAGCAGGATCACCACCCAACACCGCCACCACCATCATCATCATCACCATTATCATCATCATCATCATCATCATCATCATCATCATCATCATCATCATCGAGGAAGTCTCAAGTGGGAGCCTCGTCTGTGAGCGAATCGCGAGGAAGTCTCGAGCGGGAGCCCTATGGGCCCCGCACTTCACGTTAGTAATCCCAGGCGGTCAGCGGCAAATTGTCGCAGGCATAGCACTTGAGAACCCCAAGGGGGCAAATCGTGAAGACGTCTCGAGCGGGGGCTTCACCTGTGAGTGAAAAGCTAGTAAGTCTCGAGCTGAGGGCCCCTCCCTGTGGGCGCCCCGCTTCACGTCAGTTGTCCCAGGCGGTCATCGGCAGACTGGCAAATTGCACCAGGCATAGTACTTGAGCGCTCTTCGGAGGCGAATCGTGAGGACGTCTCGAACGGGAGCCCTCTCCCTATGGCTCACCCGCTTCATGTCACGGGGCGTGTCGTGAGGATGCTTCCAACGGGGGCCTCGCTTGTGAGTGAGCAGCGAGGAAGTCTCGAGCGGGTGCCCCCGCCCTACGGGCCCCGCACTGCACCTCAGCAGTCTGAGGCGGCCATTTGCAAATTGACGAAGGCACACAGCACCTGAGCACCCCAAGGGGACAAATCGTGAAGATGTCTCGATCGGGAGCCTCGTCTGCGAGTGAATTGCGAGAAAGTCTCGAGCTGGAGCCGTCGACGTGCGCGTGAAAGCTTTCGATTTCCCTAACCCAGATATCGCCACCAGCACAGCCGCGCCGTTTTTCCACACCGACCGAAACCACCTCGTGGTAGCAGGCTTCTTCGGCGCAGGCGTGCCCGCCATCCAACGTCCCGAGACCATCTTCCAGCTCCGGTTCACCAACACGGTCGACAAATTGGTTTGGAATTCGATCGCAGAAAATGCAGAGCCTTGGCACTGAATTTCGGCCGCGGCAGAAACCCCGCGGAACCGACCATCCAGTCTTCCAGCACTTCTGACGCAGGGATTATTATAAACATGTACGACTTTGTTGCCGCGTTGCCTCTGCTGATGCCGCAATCGATCGACGATTTCCAGCAAAGCATTGAATTCTTAGTCTTGTCTCCAACTGTCGGGATCGATGACAGTTTGGTGGGGGCATGCGGCCACGCTGCGCACGCTCAGGTGTTCGACCGTGGTTGCGTCTCGACGCGGTATGAGTCTGACCCTAAACCTTCCCGCCTTGGCCAGGCCATCGCGCACGAGCTCACAACTCGCGCGATGGCTGGAAGTCTCTCGGCACCAACGACTGCGATGCCAGCGAGAATTTCTGCTTCAGCTTCTCGGACACGCGTGTCTGGGACCTGGAGAGCGGACTTTCCTCCAGCTAACTTGCACAATGACGCAGGCTCGCCAGTTGCGTCTCCTGCTTGCGCTGACGCTCGAGCAGGATTTGTCCCAATCCACGCTGCCTCGGCTAGCGGGGCCGGCGTCGAGCACAACTCCGCCCTCTTGACATCGATCCGGGCAAGGTTCCAGGGTCGCGCGCAAGCCGCAGTTGCTGGGAAAGGGGAGCGAGGGAGAAAAGGAAGCAAGCACAAGTGATGTTCGATTCTTCGGCCAGATAAAAAAAAGTTAATGCGTGGGGTGGCTCGGCTAGCTGAAAGGCTTGACTGGAAGTTCCGCTCAGGTAAAATCACAAAATTGCTGATTTGTTGGTACCCTGTTTGCTGGAAACTACCGAGTCGTCGGAGATCTGGGAGGTGTCCCCGACATTTACGCCAGTTTGGAGACCTTTGGGGCCCTCTGGGCTTCGTGGGGCCTGCTCTGGATGCCATCTGTTCGGTATGATCTCATGGGAAAATCGTATGCCATCGAAATTCCAGCTCTAGAGTGCACTCGCGTGCGCTAGCGTCTGGCAGCCGATGACATACACAGATTTGGCGTCGATTTGCATCGGTCAACGTCGTGTTGCGTCGTCTAGCGCTGGTCAGCGCTCAGTTGCAAGAGCAAGCAAGATGACATGGGAGGCCCCCGCGAGGTGCCACAGAGCAGTCGCCCCCCCCCCCCCCCCCGAAATCTTGAAGACATTTGGGCATGAGGCGCTCGGCAACACCCGATCTTGGATAGGCTTGCGGAACTTTCTGGCGGCTCCCTGGGGTCTCCTGGCATTAGGGCGCGCCCCAGAAGCCGCGACCCGCCCGGAGGCGCCCAGGGGGGCGCCCGGGTTTTCCCGAGCGGCCGCCCGAGGCCACGCACCAGTTCTCAGCGCGCTTTCCCCTCCTAGGTCGGCGCCGCAAGCGCGATCAGGTCTTCTTGGGGCAGCGACGCCCGACGCGCGAGGCGCATGGTTTCCACGATGACAGCCTCGTGGGAGGGGCCAGGCTCTTCTGGCCCGCGATTGGGCCGCTCGGGTCCACCGTGCTCTTCCTGCGCCGTGACAAGCTCGCGTTGAGCTCACCGAGCACCTTCGGGGCGCTCACCTCCGAGCCGGGCGTCCGTGGGCGTCGGCCAGGCACCCTGGCGCAAGAAGCGCCATGCCGCCATTGCCCGCGAGGCATTCGACCAGCAGGAGAACGCGGCACAAGCGGTTGCCCCTCGAGGTCGTCGACGCCGCCGTGCTCGACGCGCAGGGGGGCCGCCCGATGCGCCGGGCGCTGAGATAACGCGGGCCACGACGGTTGCTCGGAGCGTGTGTCCCAAGGAGCCTAGTTGCCCCCCGCTGATTGGCATCGCCCCGCACAACCTCACAGGCGAGCCGAGTGCGGATCCACGCAGAAAGCCTCGGCCCCACTGGTGGCAGGCACTCGAATTTGGACAGCATGTGGCGCCGGCAAAATGCGAGCAAGCTTGGGCAGCATGTCGGGCTCAGGCTACGGGGATGCGCATTCCTCCGTTTGATTTGGGACCTGC